AATGACCCCCTTTCCAACAGAGTGCATGATACAAAATTTATAACGGGTGATTGATGCCAAGGTTTGAACCTCAATGTTTGATATTCTTCTTTATGCCCTTTTTGACCAACATTGGTCGAACGCGCAATTAAAATGTAATAAAACCGCATTACATTTACCTGCATATTTCTATCATTTAAGCCTATTATGTTCTCAGCATATATTGAAAATCGCAAAATGGCTACTATTGGTTACAACTGTTAACGTAATTTCCCTTTATGACTGTCTTCCATTTGTTTCATATTTGGATATTTGACTGATTATAGACATTCAGTACTAAATGACAGACAAGCGGGATGTTCTGGCTTTTCATTGGTAAACATGTCTCCCAAAGTAATTTTTTTTTTTAAAAAAATGAAGGAAAAAAAAAGAATGAGATAAGTTTTCAGAAATAAATACGGAAAGTTATGCAATGTAATATACATGTATATTTTGAATGACATAAAAAAAGTCGTGCAAATGAGGTAGAATGTATCGAAAATGACGTAATAACTCGTGCGAACGACATACTGTGGATATATATATTTCTTAATGAAAAAATGGTGAAGATAACGAACAGTGATGATTTTAAAATATCCACAAGCAGTACAGTTTTGTTAACAGGGCATAAAAAGGTCCCCCGAAAATTGCAGAGGTGGGATCAGGTGCCTAGAAAGAGTAAGCATCTCCTAAATCAGGTGAACGGAACATTCCGTTGTCGAATTTAGTATAAAAACAAGGGCCAAACAATTGACCCAATTATAGGTTATATTTGTTGACAGGGTCATTGATACGACCATTGAATCTACGAAATACTGACTTTAAACGAGGTTGTTGAAACCCCTGTAACATCAACTTACATGTATCTGTCAGTAGCCTGCCTCGATTTAAAAATTAATCGTGCTCTTGGGTATCGAATAAGTAAGTTGGTAGACGTAAACATTATATGCAAATGATTGCAGAATATTACTTCATAAATAAGGAAAATTGACAATAGAAAAGGCTGAAGTCATCCCGTTTGTCAGACAATTTAGTTGTTAGTTGGTCTTTATCGTTTATAGTCAGTAGAACGTCCAAATATGAAGCAGACGTGATAAACATAAGCAGGACATAAACTTTCTGCATGTCTGAATTATATACAATCTTATAATGCGCATTCAATTTTATTTATAAACACTGGTCTATTCTATGGGAATTTCTTTTCAAGTATAAAGAAGTAGTACAGGAGAATCCCAGTATAATGTACATTCAAGTCTGTTAACATGGTCATCTGAGAATAGGATACATACATGTAAGAGGAATATTTTTTAATCCACTTTAAAACAGTGATACGTTTGTCAAATCAATATGGAAACATTTTCAATACAGTGTATATTGAAGTAGATTAATGTTTTCAATTTATAATTAAAGACAGACTATTTTATTGACCTTCAAGGTGAATACATATATAAGAATTTATTTTTCCTACATTGAACTAAATATAGATTGAAAACAATTCTTAAAAGTTATTTCACCAGCATCTGAATTCTACTAAAGTGAACATAATATTCAAGCACAAAGAATCGGAGAAGAGGGAGGTATTTCCCCTTTCGATGCTTTGCCTGACATTTATTTTTTTCTACATTGCACCAAAACTAGATTTCAAATGCAAAATTAATACTGGTTATGTTTATGTTAACTCCTATTCTTTCACTGTGTTTGGTTAGGACTTGAGCAAATGTAAACAAGAAACTTGACATGTTTGCTTAATCAGTTTGTATCAATTTAATCGTTGAATCTTATAATAAAATAATTATTGCTGTTTTTTTCTGTCAGGACGATCAGTAATTTTCCACCATAGAAAAACAATGATCTCCTCGCCCTTTGGACTCGATAAATCTTTAACTCCACTAGTTTCTGAATCATTGAATTGACCTTAAAAACAGCAATTATTGTATAGTGTAATGAGATCAATATATCATCGATTTATTCCCAATGAAGCTCAAGTGAGCATTTTGGCCAACATGTCTCTTGATTTATATTATTTTTATTTTGCCCCCTAAGAGTTTCAACTTTAATCCGCTTTAATTCACAAGGGGTCATTATTCTACGGGGTCATTTTTCTTCACGTGGAGTATGCATGTTTTTAGGGTGATGACACTTTTTCTAAGGACAAAAGGGTCATTTTTCAACGTCGAATAAATGACCTGGGGTCATTTTTCGCCGTTGAATAATGACCGGGGGTCATTATTCGACGTCGAAAAATGATCCCCGGTCATTATTCTATGGGGGTAATTATTCGTCTTTACACCGGTCGTTGATGGGCAAATCGCTGATGATCAATAGGAGCATGACGAATAGATATCTCCACACAGCACTTTTTTTTCTCTGGAACTGCAAGTAATTTGTGGAATTCTCACTTGTTTACTTTGTTACAAAAGATTTACAAAAATAAGATTCAGTTCATTAACGATGTCTCTTAATCAACAAGCATCCGAACCAAGATTCTTTGGCCAGAAATTTACTTTTCAATTTTGTCCACCTTTTTTCTTATTTACTCATTTTCGTTTAAAGAGACCTTTATTGTATGACGTCATGGCGTCTGACAGTATTAGATTTAGCCAAGACTTGCTGGTCAAGTTGTTCAATAGAATTTTTTTGAAACTTGATCTTGGAAACTTCATACTATCTTAACTAGGGGGAATGAGGAGTAATGGAAACATGGTAAACAGAGCATTTGACCTAATGTCCTTTTTATCACATTATACATTACAGATTACATAACATTTGGCCACTCTCGAATGCATCATTCATGTCCAGCAAAATTACAGGAATTAATGAAGTTGGTCAGCTCAACTCTGACTTGTCGCATATTTCATCAGATAAACTAATGGATGTTTATTTCAATACATACCAAGTCTCTCTACCTTTAGAATTTTTATAAAGTCTACACATATCCATAACTTGCACACGTTTGATTTATTCATAGTTAAAAAATATCAAAATGAAAGATAGATGATGGACATTCTTTTGCTAAAATGCAAACTTAAGTTGTTAGCTCATTTGTAACACGTTTATTTTTTTTCTTTAATTATTTAATCATTTCAAAGGCATAACAGGCCCGTTGGAAGAAATTTCATGAAGGGTGCACAACCAAAAATGTTCAGTTTAAGGTGTGCACTATCAAGGAAAAATGCCTTTTCATGCAGAAAAAAGTAATCAGACGTTATTATTTACATGATTGAGACACCAGCATAAGTAGCTATGCATAGATCGGCACCCCACCCCCCACCCCCGAAGCGAGATTCACAACCAAAAATTTTCAGCTTAGGGTGTGCACTATCAAAGAAAAATGGGGTGCACAACCAAAATATTTAGGGTGTTTAAGGTGTGCACTATCGAAGAAAAATGTCTTTTAAGAAAAAAAAAGTTATCAGACATTATTATTTACTTGATTGAAAAACCAGCATAAAGTAGCCTTGCATAAATCGGCAACCCCACCCTCTTTCACCCCACGGCTATGAAAGAAAGACTTTACAAATGAAATAGTGTATACAGTATAAATTCATGTCCAAGTTTTATTTTATGTTGCTGCCACTGAATTAAATTTTTCTCTTGTTTCTTAAAAAAAAATATTTCTGGACTCAGAGTCATGTTGATACACTGGATTTAACTTTCTGGATTCTTGGCGTTTAATAAATTTTCTCACGTCAGACAAGCTTTTTAGGAAAGGTAATACTTGTTCATATATTTGTATACAGGTCCCTGTTCTAATAATATGTCTGTAGATCACCATGTCAATTTAAACTCTCGTTTGTGTGAAAAGTCGCATGGTGCTGTTTTAAGCCCTTTCAAGACCACCTGTGCACGGAAAAAGATTGTACAAACAGAAGATAACGAAATTACATTTATACCAGATTCATGCATCTGTTTATTTTAAGTTTTCAAAGGCCATGCGGTGAAAAGTTTAGGCAATGAACATAGGCATCTTTTCCTATCTGTTCTCTGTTACACATAACTTATAGCTAAAGTTTTCCAAGAAAGGAATAACCATGTCCCCTGCTTTAAGCAGCATTTAGGATAAAAATAAATCTACGGTGGTCAGCTATTTATTTATCTAGCATTATTAGGCATATAATTTATATCGTGAAAATACATTATTTCCTTGAGAATCATCTCTGCTCTTGGACATTTAGCAGATAATAAAGTGCATAATTATGATAAGCAAGGGTGTCTCGTCCAAATTAGAGGAATTTCTGACCCCTGGGTCAATCCAAGCGCTATTGGTTTGTTTACTCTGTATGGTGATGGTGACAAATGGGAGTATTTTAGAACTTACAAGTTCAGACAATAAATAGATCTACTTTACGATTTGCTACTGAGTACCAAACTATTGTGGATCCCTGATCATCCCATTTGAGGCAACGTATCTTCACATATACCTTTTTATTGTTTACTTTGGATCCTTTACAGTATTGTACACTTTATTTATGCTCAGGTTACTGTTAATTTTTTTCGATGCAGACTTACTATTTTATAGTTTTCCCGAAACCCAAAGGAGACTTGTTGCGATCTGTTCTTGTCCGTCGTTGTGTGTCGGTCTTAGATTTTAAGACATTTCCAGCTTTTTCTCATAAACCGCTGAACTAATTTCAACAACGTTTTGTGTACTGTATATTATGATCACCCAATAATCTGATATGAATTTTAGTCATAGTGGTAGAGTGTAAAAACACAATCATACAGACAAGTAAATGAATCTTTCCTGAGTTGTTGCTATTTATGAGTCTAATAATTCTGTTTATACCTGGTTGTCATATTTTCTTGTTTTTTGAGCAGCATATCTATCATCTATCAATTATTTTTTTTTTTGTTTAATTATCCCATGGCCATGTCATCGATCCTTTACAAGGTTGTTTCATACTCAGGGGCGTGTAAGCCCTTGGTCTCTTTTATTCATTCGTGCTTTTATTATTTTGAAGAACCCCCTTTTATATTTGTAGGTCCTATTCCCAACTGGGACTCTAGTGGAAATTTTGATTGTTGCGTGGCCTTACAGCACTGTCTTTCAAATAAATGTCAAAATATTTCCCTCACCTCCAGACGTTGGTAATACGAACGGTTTGTGTGGAGTTTTGGATGGTACGCAGCACAACGATTTAACAAGGAGAGATGGAACTGTAGATAATCCCAAAAATTTTCGATACCACTCACCTCCGCGTGTCTTCTTTAGGTCTTGGCTGTAAGTACATACGTTTACGCAATTAAAGAATACAAACTAGAATACAGTTTTTTTTAATCGATCTTTATATTTAATTCTATAGATTATGTAACTCCTATTCCACTGGTACATTTAAGCGTCATAGACCTTTAGACATATCATTATTAAGCAACATCTAACTTTTTCATTTAAAAAAAAAATATAAAAGGTATAATGTGTGAAAATTGGTAGAGACTTTTTATAATGATATTTCATGACAAGAAGACTCCACACTAACCTAATAACGTAACAGATAATGGCCAAAGTTAAATAATTGTAAACAATAATCATCTTTTTAGATACTTTAATCACTTTGCTAATTCTTTTTAACAATGGATAATGTAACTTTAGAAAGTTCCGAATATTTATACTTTGATATGGTTCATTCTAGACACATGAATGCATTCCATGATAAAGTTTAGTTCATTGTTGATCATGATATTCTGGTGATCTTAGAATAAATAAATTGCTTTCAAAATTGACCTTGCCATTTCCGAGATCAAAGGTCATCAATATAAAATTCTCATTTACATAATTTTTTTTTTTCAATTTTGCAATTCTACAATTATAATTAGCACTTTAAAATGTTGCATGTCAAATAAAATAATTTAAAGATGCAAAAAAAAAAAAAAAATGAATTGTATTTCATCAAGAATGAATTGTATTTCATCAAGTCTTCAAAATATATATGAATAAGTTCAGTAAATGTAAAAATTAGCAATATTGAATTAGTCATTTCCATTTGTTTTCTATAATTTTCAATTTACATATTTCACCATTTGTTTTCTATAATTATTTTTTATTTCTATAATTTTCTATTTGTAGTGCACAATTTCCATTTATGGTTTATATTTCACACTTTATACGAGGGTTGTCCGGAAAAATCGCGGACAAGTTGTCTAGAATGAAAAATAATCATCACAGCGTTCTAAAATTTTCACTACTCTATACTAAATTTTTCATCAGCATACATAGCAAATTTCAAATAGATATATGCTCAAATAATTAAACAAAGTATGAGATTTCATGTTATGTGTGGTATCGCCTTACGCGAACGTCAAAGTGTCTAAAGCAGCGTCACGTTTCCTCTTTCCTTAAAAAAAACGTTGGATAAGCCCCAATTAAATTCGGTATTTTCATTGATGTACGTACTTGAGTTTCTCTTTATTTCTCCATAAACAGTCGAAGAACCAATCTTGCAGGCACACGGGCTCTTCGGAAGATTTACTACTAAGTTATGGACAGTACACTCACCATCATTCAACTAAATAGGCTATCTTATATCTACGGTCTACAGTGACAGCATCTTTCGCAATTCCCAGTAGCTGTTTGTCCTTATGCTTTGTTCCACGTGTACCCAGGGACTCGATCAAAAAGCTTCCGCTTAGAAAACTTCCATTTCACGTGTATACATGTACTAAAAATCTAGTGATATTTTATATTTTTTTTCTTCTGTAGTCATTTAAAATCTATTAGGGCGTCATCACTACATCTAATCAAACTGAACTGCTCTCCGGTGCGCCATTACGTCACCAAACGTCGCCATTTTTGTGTATTATGTTAACCACTTTTCCTTTTCAAATGCTCGGAAACTGCTAAACATTAAGAAAATGGCTTGAAAATTTCCAGAAAACGACATAATAGATAGTGGATTAAAATATGATAATTTTTACCCAACCTTATCGATGTTATACTTTTATTTCGAAATAATAGTCGTGTATTCTCTAATGAAACCCGTTTTTTTTTATCCTGCGCCGTAGGACCATATCCTGTGCACATTCAAGTATAATAAAATCTTTATTTTTGTCTATATTATATCCAAAAAAAATTAAGATGCACTTAGATATTATAAATAAACATTTGCTGAAAACTTCAGCTTAGTGTGCCCTTTATTTTCGATAAAAACGCTTTATCCACCGGACAACCCTCGTATTGTTTATTTTTTATTTGCATTGTATAGATTTTATATGTAATGTATATTTTTGTTGTATTCCATATTTTCTATTTGTATTCTAAATATTATTATCTATATTTTAAAGTTTCTATTTGTTTTAATGATGGAGTGATTGATTGATTGTTGTTTTACGTCCCATTCGAGAATTTTTCACTCATATAGAGACGTCACCATATACCGGTGAAGGGCTTCAAATTTTGACCTTTTCTCGGCACTCAGGGCCATTGAGTAGTGAGAGATCTTTATCGTGCCAACGCCTGCCGTAACACGGGGCCTCGGTTAATTTTTAAAGGTCTCATCCGGAGGACCCGCAACTTTCACTTCAAAGTGCCGAGCGCATGGCGAAGGAACAGTTGATACCCATTTTTTTAATCGACTTATGTCTGTCTCGGCCGAGATTCGAACTCAAGATCTCCCGATCACGGAGCGAGCGCTCTACTTACTGAGCTACCGTGAACGGTTTCTATTTGCATTGTATAATATAAAATTTCATTTTTTTCAATGATACAACATTTATTAATAATTAATAATTTGAAAGTGGAATATGTTTCTTTTTCACGTCAGGATGGATATTGGTTAAATTTTTATTATGTGTTTCATTTTTTTTTTTTTCAAAATGTATCAGTACATTTATATTTATATTTTTTCATCACTTCTATGCACAAAGAAAAAGTTGAATATTACTTACATGTATAATAATTCATAATATTATAATACTGTATTTCATTTCTCAACCACTTGATAGCAAATTGCACAATAATTAGGAATGTTCATACCAGGGTTGTCCAGTATAACCCTAACAAAAAAAATACTATAGTTAACTATAGTGAAAACTTTGACACTATAAAAAATTTGATTTACTATAGTGATAACTTTGACACTTTTTTTTTACAATAGTGATAACTTTGATACTTTGATTTACTAAAGTGATCACTATGAAAACTTTGATTTACTAAAGTGATCACTATGAAAACATTGATTTACTATAGTGATCACTATAAAAACTTTGATTTACTATGGTGAAAACTTTGGTTTACTATAGTGATAACTTTGAAAAACTTCGATTTACCATAGTGAAAACTATGACACTATAGTGATCACTTTGAAAGCTTTGATTTATTAAAGTGATCACTTTGACACCTTGACTAGTTAACTATAGTATTTTTCTGTTAGGGAATCGAAGACAAGTTGTCTAGAGTGAAAAATAATCAACGCTACCCTCTAAAATTTATTCTTCAATTTACATAGCGTATTTCATATAGATACATGCACAAAAAAGCAAAATTTAGCATTTTATGTTATGCATAGTATTGTCTTACGGCGCACTGATGATAACGCTATTATGTATTTGGAACGTTTACGTCATGTTTTATTTGTATTTATAATTTGATGGGAAAAAGTCGGATCAACCTGCTTCGATTCAGTGTTCTCAATTCTTACGCAGACGAAGGAATAATCTCTCACACATAGACTTCCTAAAGTTTTGCATTAGTGTGTTATCGAGGTACACTTACAATATTCAACTAAACAGGACTAAACAGGCAATCTTGCAAAGAGTTTTCTGACATTTTGCCTTGAAGGCGTCTTTCATTACTTCCAATTGCTATTTATTCATATATGTTTTTGTCTATCATGAAACAGTAAATCAAAAGTTCCGCTTAGAAAGTCGCCCATGTCATTTTGATATTAAAGATCAAGTGATTTTCGTATATTTTTTGTCTTATCATTATAACGTCTGTAGAGGCATCAGTCCTAAATCTTTATACAGTTGAACTGCTCTCCAGTGCACCGTAACGTCATCAAAAGTCGCCAGTTTTCGTCCGTTGTTCTTACATCTACTTCATATCAACAGCTCGGGAAATTGTCAAATTACGCAAATTCTTTGAACTTCTCAAAATGACGACATAGTACATAGTGAATTTCTATATATTTTTTACTGCAACCTAATTTATTTCGAACTTGCGTATTCTCTGATGAACACTGATTTTATGATCGTGTGCCGTAAGACAATACCCTGCGCTCAATCAAATATAATAATAATCTTATTTTTGTCTATATTTTGTCAAAAAAGATTAGGTGTACTAAAATATGACAGATACACACTTGCTGAAAATTCCGCCAATTATTTTTCATTAAAACAACTTTGTCAACGGTTTACCGGAAAACCCTCGTACAAGTCGTGTTTTTTTTCTTTTAGATTTGTTAAGTTTTCAGAAGGTTAATATTATTGAGATTCGGCATTTACAATTAATTGGTCACTTAATTCTTTCATTAATTCATCGACACATTTTAAAAATTGTTTCAAATACTACCTCCATTATCACCTGCAGATCAGGACAACATAATATGCGACAATATGTGCGGATGATACAAAATGTGGAGCGCAATTCTGCACATAATGTCCTAAGCGAAAATTTGTGCATGGATAACAAATGTACTACTACAACGCCGAAATTTTTTTTATGCTTACAGAGTACTTGGCAATGAGGATTTGTTCAACAATAGAAATATCAAGTCTAAAAACTTCCTCTCTATTTCGAATACGTTAACTGAAGCTTGCACATGTAAAGTAATGGAAGGAAAGGTCACATCATGTGGTTTATATGATAAGACGGAAGCTAGGATTGATTGTAGTTATGGTACAGTTGAGAGCTGTAAATTCAAAACAGGGAAGCCGTTTCAGTGCTTTGTATACCCTGATGGGTCCAAAAGACGGAAACGGGATTTGTCGCATCTCACAAGAATCATGGAATTTGCTGCCGGAGACGAAAACCAAATCAACTTCTCGGTAATAACATGTTTTTTTTTTTAGTTGAGCCAGACTTTTTCAATTCCCATGACTAGATATATTTTGTTAATTTTAGGAGAGGAGCAAAAGACAAATTTACGATGTAAGAACAGAAAAAGAAGCTGAAGAAGTGTGCATCAAAGCTTTCGAGGAAACCGACGCGATTACTACCTGTCGACAATATGACTCTGATATAAGTAAAACTGCTGTTCACAACTGTATTTCGGATGTGATGGTATATATATATATATATATATATATATATATATATATATATATATATATATATATATATATATATATATATATATATATATATATATATATATATATGATACAAAAAAAATATACAAATCAATTAACAAAAAATAATTTTCTTTAATTATTACAATAAATATTTACAATGGAATTGGGCACAAGTTCTTAAGATTAAATTTGTCCTCTCTCTAAATCATTTCTACATGAAATTAATCTGAAACTTTTTTTTAATATACACTGAAATGATTTAAATATATTTCATATGAAATGTTGTTTTATTACATTTTCAACAGTGAGATACTGTGATTTATTTATTGAATAAAAGTGATATTCTCTCACAGTGTGAAAGGATACCAAAGTGATATTCTCTCACAGTGTGAAAGGATATCAAAGTAAGTAAAAATTAATTTCTTGCCTGTAATGAGAGAGAGATAGTAACTTTACCGTCGTCTTGATAGAGACTAAAACTGTCAATTTCTTCCCAAATATCTTGTTAAAGTCCATCTAACAATGTTTGCTAAGCTATGCAGTCTCTACTGCTCAACTATGACGTCACTGCCTATGGTACTGTGTCAAGAAAAGAGAGAGGGAAAGGTAAAATCAAACAAAATGTAATAAACAGAAAATTCGATGTTTTGTAGTTAGATAATATGGAATTGATTTCATTCGTGAGACAGGATTTTTTTTATATTTTCACGAGTGTGGAGAACGGGTGAAAATATCAAAAAATCATGTTCCACTCGTGAAATATATTCCATATCTAACTACAAAACATTGAATATCTATTTATTGCATTTTCAACAGTATTGCATTTTCTATTTATTGCATTTTCAACAGTGAAACATTGTTATCTATTTACTGAATAAAAGTGATATTCTGACACAGTGTGAAAGGGCATCAAAATGGTATTCTCACAGTGTGAGAATATCAGAAGTGCGGCAAAACTTACGATTTTCCTTCCCTTCACGAAGAGTGTTTTTTTTTTATCCTTGGCCTGTTATAAGATAGAGTTAATGAGCCATCCTGACAGAGACTTACAGTAATACTGCCAAAGTTCTTTCCAAATATGTCGTTAAAAATCCATGTTTACAACGTTTTTCAGTCTAGCAATCGCTTAGCTGTGACGTCTCAACCGCTCAACTATGACATCACAGCCTATGACATTGTGTTTCGAAAAGACAGAGGCAAAGGGAAAATCTAAGGAAATGTAATAAACAGAAAATTCAATGTTTTGTAGATGAATATGGAATTTATATCACTCGTGAGACAGGATTTTTTTTGAAATTTTCAGTCCTGCTTCGCAATCGTGAAAATATCAAAACATCCTGTCCCACTCGTGAAATAAATTCCATATTCATCTTCAAAACATTCAATATCCTCTATATATATCCTTAGATGACTGGTGACAACAACATAACAAAGATACACATTGAAGCAACTCTACAGCAATGTTCCAGTCTTGTTCTGTTTAATTCAACCTTTCAAGAAGAACAGCCTGACGTAACACACCTCATCGAATCACTCTGTCCAAATAATTGTAGTGGGAATGGTGAATGTAATGAAGGTAATACAAAATATAAATAACCAGGATGTTAGGGAAAGGTTAATCGTAATCAGTTACCGTAATCAGCTGTAAACAATTGTATTCTACTGTGCAATAATAAATATTTCCAAATCAACCATTTTTTTCCCGTAAAAAGTAATTTAAATTTGATAAATTACATTGAGAAGAAAAATCCTGTAAGTACATGTATCATTACGTTTTGATAATTTTATGATTTTAATGATTAAAAAGAAATACATAAAATATTGTTATTTATGAATTCAGTAAATTACGAGAAAATAGTTGTGTTTTTTTATAATGTTTGTAGCTCACCTGGGCCGAAGGCTCAAGTGAGCTTTTTTGATCAAAAAGTGTCTGTCTGTTGTTCGTCGTCTGTCGTTTTTAAACTTTTTACATTTTCGACTTCTTCTCAAGAACCACTGGGACAATTTCAACCAAACTTACCACAAAGCATACTTGTGTGAAAGGGATTTAAATTTGTTCACAGGAAGTATCGCGCCCTCTTTCAAGGGGAGATGATTAAGGATTCGAAAAAATTGGTGGCATATTTCAAAAATCTTCTTCTCAAGAACCACTGGGCAAGAGAAGATGAAACTTATTTGAAAGCTTCATTACATACTCTAGATTTACGTTTGTTCATATCATAACCTCCGGGGTTAGGGCGGAGCCAGAAGAGGGGGTCGACATTTAACATAGGAATATATAGGACATGTCTTTTAAAATCTTCTCGGGAACGGCAAAGCCATAATTAGTCATATTATAACAGAAGTATCCTCAGTTAGTGTAGATTCAAGTTTGTTCCAATCATGGCCCCAGGGGATAGGGCCACAACAAGGGGGGGGGGGGGGTCAAAGTTTACCATAGGAATATATAGGAAATATCTTTTTAAAAAAATTCTTCACAAGAACAGGTAAGCCATTGTTAGTCATTTTAATACAGAAGTATCCTCATGATCAGGTAGTATAGATTCAGGTTTGTTTTAATCATGACCCTTGGTTCTTTCATTTCTCAAAATTAATTTTAGTTTATTATCAAATCGTATCGCAAAATCGTAGGGGTAGCCAACCTTGCAGAGAAAGGAAATTTAAATGAATGTGTGTGCGGTATAATACTTGTTAATGATGCTCCACAATTTCTCCAAAAAAAGGAATCCTAGGATCAAACTGATGCATGACATTGCTAGTGATCGATTTATGCAAAATCTTTCATTAAGTAAACTTTGTTCTCGATAGAAAGATATGTTTTGTAGGAATGTTTACAACAGATACGATAAAAGTATAGTTTAGGTAAATAATTTTGAAATAATTTTTCAGTAAATTATTTACATACAAGATGCAAACACCGATAATTCCTGTTCATAACTCTCTATTCATGTATTTTCTATATTATATCTTCAATACATAAAGGCCTTTCTGTTGTACACAACTTATATTTATTGTCAAAGAATTTTTTTTTTTGAATCCATTAAAAAAAGCATTTGGGTCACTTTTTACCTTTAATTAATGTTGTTTAAGAAAATATGTGATTCTGTTATTTTACAATATTCTTCTGCTTATTTTTTTAATCTCATCTTAAGATCAAAGTGGCATCCTAAATTAAATGTTTGCCGTGGTTAGGCATTTTAAGCAATTTTAAAATCGTAAAACCACTTAAAAATTTACACCTGAATCATATTTTCATTTCGATTATGCATTCATCATTTTCAGGAAATTGTACATGCGGCGAAAACTTTGCTGGAAGTGATTGTTCTTTTGATATACTTGGGCCTCCAAACATAAGACACATTTCAGACTTTGGTTTCTGTGACAAGTCGTATGAAGAATGTGACGAAATAACCCTGTATGGAGAACTATTTTTAGAAAAAATGAAGACAGATTGCTTCATAACAAGAAAAACGGTAAAGATTCACTTTGAAGCGATTAGATTTAACTGCTCTTTATAAAATAATATCGATAACATACTTTTCCGTAATTTTATTCCTTAAATATTTTTAAGGTTTTAAGGGATTAATAAATCAAATTCTCTCTGTTGTTTCTAAGATCAATATACATGAATATGTCATTGTATTTATTTTGATTTAACTTGATATTTATAATATATTTTAGTTTCAGCAAGATGGAACACATTCCAAAGAATTCTTTCAAAGCGGTTTGGAGCCAAGAACATTATTTGAAGGATATTGCCCTCTGTCATACAGTACGGAGTCCCATTGGGTGACAGAATTTACTTTCAATGTGTCGAACGATGGAATTAGATTCACAGATACTTTTAATGTGTATACATATCAATCAGACTGTCAGGAATTTAAAAATATCAGTGGAAACATCAGTTTTACTCTAAAGGTATGTTTTAACAGATAAGGATTCCAATAAATTGTTTTCATACATTGACCTTATTATTGCACATAATACTGAAATGCACTTACTATAGTTTTGATTTTTTTTAATGCTTTCTGAAAATTAATTTCGTATTCAAAACGTCTTAATATTTCCATGTTTTAGAGTGGCTACTGTTTCATCAATGGAAGATGTTATATTGATGGAGGCACGAATCGTGACAACCAATGTGATTTATGTAATGTCACTCTGGACAGTTATAGCTGGTCATTCAATCCAGGTAAATGAGAAAAAAAATAGAGTATAAAGGCACATCTCACTTAATATACTGATATAAGTAAGGGTTTTTAGGTCGATGCAATGACCTTGTTTGCAAATATATTCTGTAGTTAAGCTGATGTTGACTGACGTTTTTCATAAATTGTTAATCCATTATTTCCCATGGATTTTTCCACTGGAAACCCAATCATGACAAGGAGCACACAGCGGGTGTGAAAAGTTGACAGAGAATGCTATTACGCCATGGCACATGATCTCATTTTTGAGGATTTTAGATGTGCAGGGTTCTCCATGAGCTGTTTTACTGTGTCGGCCCCGACACAGTAAAGTTTTCCCCGACAAAGTAACGATTCAAATTTTATACGTGCGACAAAGTTAAAAATTTTGCGACAAAGTAAGATTGGTGATAATCAGGAAAAAAAAAACAGAACATAAATTCTCTCTAACTGAAACTTTAATCAAACAAATATACTGTCTTTCAATTTTTAAGGCAGAACACTTAATTATCTCTTAATTATAGGGCACTGTTCTTGCTTCACCTTTCATAATCAATTATCTCCTACACCCTCGCTGGACTTTACGCATGTAAGAACAAAGTCAAATAATTTGTTTTCACACTTCATTGTAACCATATAATTGCTAGTTGCATTTTTAAGATATTATTCAAAAATTAAAAATTCTTCAGAACCACTTCTCCAATTATGAGTGGCACTGTGAGTCAAACATCGTACCGTAATCATTTCATTGATGTAAATGTATTGTTGAAAAATTTAAATCCCCCCCCCCTTAAAGTATTTTACTATTCTTAAAGTTTCTTTTTTTAATTCGTAAATTCGATCAAATGACAAATATCACGGCAATTTTACTTTAAAAGTGGGAAGTTGATCGATTTTAGGCCAGAATTTCCTCTGCTCTTCAGAGCATGTGTAAAATATGAAGTTAAATATACATTGCATATATTAAAATACCAAGGTTTAATCAAGGTTTGATATACACGTACAACTTGTAGACAGTGATGCAAGTATATTATTTAATTTCTCTATATCATACTTATTTTTTTTTAAGTTGTGTGTTCTGTTGTGGGGGATGAGGTGTACATTTTGTTTGTCTTATAGTACATTGTATTTACATTATTGTATGGAAAGATTCTAATTGTTTTATATATCCATTCCATTAATCTATTTTTTATAAATATGTACGACCATGCATTTGAATAACGAATTGGTGATTTAAAAAAGTTGTGTGTGTGTGAGAGAGAGAGTGTGTGTGTGTGAGGGTGTGTGTGCTTGCTTTTGTAATTATAATGAATAGTGGTTCGGTTGCAAATTTGATCGCGAAAATACCCTGAATATTTAATTTAGTGGTTAACGTAAAGTCTGCAACACAGTGAAATTTCAAATGATGGAGAACCCTGGATGTGTGTCTTTGCTCTGCTCCAAATTTGTATTTTTTTTATTATTGTCATGCTGCAGTTTTGAGTATTTGGAGATTCGAAATCAAGTGTATAAACAAATTGTAGAGAAACATAGGATCTACCAAATTTCATGTGTCATCAATAAATGTATATTCACAACTATACTCAGGCTTGGTTCTGTAATCTTACTGAAAAATAATGGAGTTGCTGGAAACAGTATGTTTTCAAATTTCATTTTTATCATATGGAAGGCATAAACACTTATATGTAAAATAAATTTGCTTTAAGAACTTGGAGAAGTTATTATTTTGGTGAAATCTGCTTAGGAATGAGTTTAATTTTTTTTCAAACATATCTAGTTGATTACGTCTATACAATGGTAGGTCGGTCGGTATTTTTTAGATGCTATGGTAACAAATACAAATATCTAGTAGAAATCAAAATGATGTTTTGATGCTACATCGTAAGCAATTAATCAACTTATATGAGTGTTAATTACTCTGTAAAAAATGCATGACGATACATAACAGTAATGTCTCAGAAATCTACATTACTAATAAGAAACAAATATATTCTCATATTTTAGATCACTGTTTAATAAATGGAGAGTGTTATGTGAACGGAGAAATAATGGGGACAAATCCATGTAGCGCATGTCTTCCGTCTATGGACAAGTGGAACTGGTCAAATAACCCAGGTATTTCAGTAAAATAACAAATATTAACAAATAATATTTATATAAGTACAGTTCAATTATGCATTTTTTGTTTTAACTTAACTCTCTCTTTTTATCACTTATATTTGTTTATATGTTTTTATCTAAGATTAAGTTTTATTTAGGATACTGTTACATTGATGGCATTTGCTACTTTGACGACCAGTTTCAATTGAACAATGATTGTTATAAATGTAATTATACCCGGAATAGAACAGAATGGACATTCAATGAAGGTAGAATTTCTCTATATTTATCCAAATTTCTTAATATAAAAACAGTAATGACTGTAAAAAAATTTTCACACACATTTTCTTTAGGTTCCTTATATACTTATTTTTTCATTTGAGTTAAAAACATTAAATATATATAATGTGTTAAATGTATTAAACTAGGTCATTGTTTTATTGATGACCAATGCTATAAAGCGGGAGAAAGTCATCAAAAAACCAAATGTATGACGTGTGATCCTGATCACAACAGAAATAACTGGACCCTGAATACTGGTAAAATGATTTGAATTATATTTATTGTAGTCTACCTTGTAGAGCATACATTATTGCAAGATCATTATTTATATTACAGGCTAAAAATGATCGCTTACATATATCAACTTACCTTGTTTACAGTAAAACTTTTAAAAATCTATCAATCTCAAATCATTATGTATTAAAGAAGGAACAACAAATGCATTTCATTTTTTTTTCAATTGTAGAATATTGTTTTGTCAACGATTCTTGTATAAAAGACGGGGAGTGGAAAGAAAATAATCCCTGTATGATGTGCAACATCTCCATCAGCAAGGACTCTTTAGTTCAAAATACTGGTAAAATTCAGTTTCTACAATTAGAATTCAAGGTCATCATTCACTCTTATTTACATATTTGTTCTTCCTTTCACGATACTATAAATGAAAGGAATTGTTGAAAAAAAAATATTTAGAGGATTTATGAAACGAATTATTCATTTACTTTACTCATTTAAATATGTAAAATATTAAATATTATAATTTTTTCTATATCCGTCAAAAATTATACTGAAAATTAATTTAATTGGATGTATAACCGCGAACTTTTTATCAAAGATTGGAACAAAATGTATTGTGTGATGAATTCTTCAAAGCAGTTATCCACGTATGTTTTTGTATATATCCTGCTGCCTCCTATAAAAAATTTCATTTTCTTCACTTTTTTCACTTTTAAGCTTACTGTGATATCAATGGTCTTTGTGTGGCTCATACATTAAAGAACGACGATGAATCTTGTTTATATTGCAACACGTCAATTGACAGGGAAAGCTGGTCATTAGTTCCAGGTGAATATTATTTACCAAAATGTACAATCTATAGTCAAATATATCTACATTAGCAAATAGCTGAAAACTGTATTTAGAACTGAAAATTTCAAAATGTACATACAGGAAGTAAAAGTTGTTTTCTTTTTGACTAAAACAATTACAAGATATTTTATTAGGCGTGTGATAACAAGAAACGTTGTTCTGTTGCTCTTTGAAACTAGTTGTTGAAAAGGATCTACTTAATAAAATAATTGAAATGATTTTTTTTTTAATAAATTCCTTTTATTATGTTTCAAAGCAAAGGAATAATTCATGTTCTTTTAAATACCCAGTTTAATGGCATTAGCAGATTGAAAAATATCAAAAATATATTCTTTATAAATATTTTTTTTTTCAATCCGGACAAGAAAATACAAAAGAGGAATGTAAATGTTCAGATTCCCTTTTAAAAAGGCAATATTTTTACTTTAATTTTCCATTCAAATTTACTTAACGTAGCTACGGATAGTGATCACGTGACATTACATGTGAATTCTAAATTAAGAATTTTTCGGTCCGCTTATTCCGGAAATGCGCCTATTTCAATATGGCGGACTGCAGTTGTAAACAATGTGCTACGACAAAAGTTCACTGGAATAGTTACTACAGGAATAGTTACAGGAAAGCTCAGCAGTAAAGGTAGATCATGTTAATTAGAGTGAATGAGAGATAGAACATGTCAACAAACAGGACAACAATTATAAATCTTTTTTATGAAATGGAATATTCGTATACACATGTCGCAAACGACTTGCACCCCCTACTCCAAAGCAGACGACACGGCTGATGTAGATCATATAATGACATCAAATGGAATGAAGGACGAAGAGTTGTTGAGCTGAAGAACTTGGCAGTCTAGTTCATATGCTTACAGCCACAAGATGAAGGCATTCATTTGCATTTTTTACAACTTTAAAATCGTTGTTGACTCGGTACTTTATTGTATAAACATGATAAATACATTGGGCCTAAATGTGACTGATGGTATTGTACTGTTTGTGGATTTGCCAACACCTTTTCCACGGGAAAGGAATACGATAGAGAGGCCTTTGATATCAACTCAAAAGTAGCTCTTGGTAAGTCAAATAAATATCAACATAATGTACATTCCATTTTAAACTTCTGTTATAATTGTACTTCAGCATGAATATTAAACTTATCTTTAGTAAACTCAGTGCATGTAAGGAACTGCCATTTGATTTTTTTTTTTTTTTTTTTTTTTTTTTTTTTGTTGAGGGGGGTTATGGATGTCAGATTATTTATTAACATGCCAGTGAAGGACAGATTATTTATTTTTATTTCCAAGATGATTGGGGACAGATTATTTTTGTTTTTCTTCAATGGAAAAAAGTTTAACAAGATGGTGCATATTGAAACTGTTTGCATGTTGTTTGCTGGTCTGATAAAACTCAATCCTTTATTTTACTACTGCTGCATAGTTAGAATATTGGTCAGGCAGCGTGGGCATTTCTCTTGTTAAGTCCAGTTTCTGTGTATGATTTTCTGGTTAAAAACTGATTTTCCAATCAACCATAATTAAATTTTGTTTATGTCAGTACAGATCTATTTGATCTAATTTTTTTTCAGCCAACTTGATGGTACATTCTGGTATGGGACCATCCCATGTAGTAAATTTTCTCAGCAACTTTAACACTCCACCTATGGTGTCACCACATCGAAAAAAAAGAGATGTCGGCCTCTATTGTGCAACCAGGCCAAGGAATCTTGTTGGATAGCTAGAGACGAAGAATGCTAAACCAGACCAGTTGGAATGTAGTTTTGATGCTGGATAGCAGACCAAGGGGTCTTGCTGTTAGTATTATAGTGATACTGGTAAAGTCATCATTTGAAAATTATCATGCCAAATTTGATAAGTGTTGAAAATTGGCAATTTATGGGGTGTAAACTTCTGCAAGTTATACATGTATATATACTTGTTCACTGAAATTCTATATATAGGATATAAACATTTTTGGGGATATATTTTGATGTGGACTCCAGATAATAATGTTAAATTCTATATTTCAGATAATTTTATCAAGACCATTCATGCAGATAATGATTCAACTACTGCAGCTCTACCAAAGAATGCTTTCCATCTCTTCCAAAAAGGCAGGACAAGAATCACTTGATGAAACTGAACTAACATACTACTTTTCTTGTCAATTTCATACTATCTCTTGTTTGAGTGTTACATCTAAAGTGGTAACAGACCACTCCACATATAAACATTTATTCATTTTTCATGTATAATCTACTCTGTGAGTGTTATGGTTGGTGACTGGTAATAGACTGCTCCACATGTAGACTTTTTTTTAAATTGTTCATGTATAATGTACTTTGTGAGCGTTACATGTATGTCAGATGTGGTAATAGGCTGCTGCAGACTATTCTTTTTCAAAACATTTATGCATAATCTACTGTGCAAGTGTTATGCTGGGTTCGGTAAAAGGCCGCTCAACAATAACCTATTCTTTATTATACATAATCTACTTTGTGAGTCAGTGTCATGTTTGTTAATGAGCTGCTCCACATATTCATGTAGACTCTTCATTTTCATTTAACATATAAAATGTTCTGCATGAAGTTTTAAATCAAGTGCAGTAATGGGCTGTTCTTATATTGTTATTTTGTTTTATAATTTTTATACACAATTTATGTATGTCTCAGATCAAGGTCCCTGTTACAATATATTTTCCTTAGCCTAATGTTATTATTCTACCTGCTCGTATATGTTTGGCTGAATGAAATTACTTTTGTTCAATTTGAAAGATTGCTGATCATATTTTTTCAATGATATTCTTTTATTCTATGCAAAAGAATTATGTGTATTGTGCAGTGCTATGTCAAATGTATTTTTTTTTGGTCTCATTATGCATGGCCAAGATGTTTTTTTTTTCCAACAAAGGTGCATATATTTGACATGTTAGTACATGTAATTAGGGTGTTTTTGACAATGCAATGAAAAAAAAAATTAAATGCATATAATATGGGAGTTTTAAGTTCATTAAAATAGTCATATTTGTTTGATTGGGAGAACTGAAATACTTTTATTCAATCCCTACTTCTATTCAAGTGGAATATAATTTAAAATTGACATAAAATAAGGTTTTTGTAGTACCAAGTAAATATCTTATAGAGTCACATTCTTGTTTTGCATTTTTTTTTAGAAGCACACCAAATTTGATTCTTATTTTCAATTCTGGAAAAGGGGGGGGGGGGGTTGGACCATTTGGTACCTTTAGTTAATTAGCCTTCAATGTGGCAAAATTTTTGAGTGGGGAATAGTATTGGCCAAAATTTTCACATAATAATATTATTAAAAAGATCTATTTGAGAAGATTTTTTTTTATAGATTTTATGTAAGAAAATATAGAATTTGTTTGCATGAAAGAAATGAAAATTGTTAAGGTTGAAGAGTTTTTGTATGTGTTTTCTTTTTAAATTACATTTCCATTCAAGTATTCTATTGTTGAAATATAAATTCATATTTTAATTTTGTTTTGGAATAATTTTAAAAATAAAGCACATATCTAACAACTAATTTTTTATGGATTATTTCAATATTGGATAAATTATGAGTTTTATAGTGAGAGGAGAGGGGAGGTAACTCATCATATCATTACTCTATGATTTCTCCTAATGTCATATAAATATTTTCATTAATCATTTATTAGTAATTGTTTTGTACTTCTGATTTATTTCTTCAATTGTTTTTTTTTTTTTTTTTTTTTTTTTTTTTTTTTTTTTTTTTTTAATTTACTATTTATTTTGCAATTCTTTTTTAATAGCACTACGATCATTATTCTTATTTCACGACGGGAAAACAAAGGGGGGGGGGGGGGTTAGTTGTGAACCATTTGGTACCTTTATTAGCCCTCAATGTGACCAAGATTTTTTGAGTGAAGAATTGTATTTGACAAATCTTTCATATAATGATAAAAAATAAAATTCTATTGGACAGAATTTTTTTTAGAATTTAAAAAGTGTCAAACTTGTGTGCATGAAAATAGTCAAATTTGTTGATTTTCAAACGTTTTATAAGCACTATTCTCTTAATTTATCTCTGTTCAGACAATCCCTTGTTAAAGTAAGTTAGTATCAACATTGTTTAAAAAATAATTTTAAATATTGAATGCATATTGCATAATAAATTTTTTTATGGGTAATATATATGTTGTATTG